GCCTCAACCAAATGTTATGAAACTTATACACAATGCTTATTACCACAAAACACAGATCAAGTTTGAATTTTGGTGGCGTCACTTTAACCGATCTAGAGTTATGCCCCTTTATAAAAGGAAATATTGCAAAATTTTTAGTTTCCGTTCTCTAACTTAAGTTTGCCTCAACCAAATGTTATGAAACTTATACACAATGCTTACTACCACAAAACACAGATCAAGTTTGAATTTTGGTGGCGTCACTTTAACAGATCTAGAGTTATGCCCCTTTATAAAAGGAAAAATTGCAAAATTTTTATTTTCTTCTAAATATCAAGTTTATATAATGTATTTTTAAAATTGGAGTTATCTTCCTTTGACCATGATTATAGTTGAATCAACTACAATCAATGCTTTATACAATGCAATGTTTAATTTTGACTACCACTGATAAAACACAGATCAAGTTGAATTTGGGTAGTGTCACTTTAACCATTATTGAGTTATGCTTTATAAATAGAAAGATTGCAAAATTTTTTAGTTTCCATTCTGTAACTGAAGTTTTCCCCAGCCAAACATTGTGAAACCTATACACAATATTCATTCCAACAAAACTCAGTAAAGATCAAGTACATTTTTTTTGTTTCAGTTCTCTAACTTGAGTTTGCCTCAACCAAATGTTATGAAACTTATACACAATGCTAATTACTACATAATACAGATTAAGTACGAAATTAGGTGGCAACACTTTTACCATTCTAGAGTTATGTCCCTTTATAACTATATGATATGCAAGTGGGGGCATCATCTGTGTCCACATGTGGACACTATCCACATTTATTTTAATTTTAGTTCATTTATATGTTTTGGAGTTTAGTGTGACGTCCATTTTCACTGAACTAGTACACAATTTTATTTAGGGGCCAGCTGAGGACCACCTCCGGGTGCGGGATTTTCTCGCTGCGTTGAAGACCCATTGGTGGCCTTCGGCTGTTGTCTGCTCTGTGGTCGGGTTGTTGTCTCTTTGACATATTCCCCATTTCCATTCTCAATTTTATACACACTCAGGATTTTGTTACGACACTGTACGGTATAATAGCGTTATATAGAGTAGAAATTGTGATGACGTTACAGTAGACATCAATAACGTCGCCGAATGTTTTTTTATTCTTTCCGCTAAAAGTCAAACTTCCACAGGATATAGCTTGAAAACTAGCTTGGTTGCTAAGGACTTTCTTTGCACCAATGGGTTCGTCGTTCATTTTTGAATGGCATATCGATTTTTAAAAAAATTCTGTGGACCAACGAATTAGAAAATCTGGATAAAGTAAAAATATCTGCCGATTTTTATGATTTTCCCTATATATCCTTTGTATTTTTGGCGTATCATGCTGTTAATTTCAACAGCTTGTATCTGAAAAACGAAAACGGTTACCCCCTTTTTTTATTTTATTGTCTGATGTATTTTTACAAGCAGAATCCACATGTAAAATTAAAAAAAATTCCGTGGAGTAGTTAATTACGTACACTTCGCCTTAAGTCAGATATGTAAAATGTTATAACAAACATTATATAATTTTAAAAAAAAACATTATATTAAAAGATTTTTTTTGTTGACGCATGCGCTCTATGGTTCCTGTTTAAAAAATCAATGGAAATTTGCCCGTTTTCACTGAATTTTCATGGAAAATCAAAATGAGTGCTGTTTGCATATTATTTCCTGCTTTTTTCTGGGGACCAGTATACCACTAGTTAAAGTGCTCCCAAATAGGATCCTTTTTGGTTTAAAGGAATACAGGAGAAGAAACCAAAAAGACTGAAAAATTATTTACAAATCAGGGGTTAAGAAATTTTGTTATAGCTCACTAGTGCAGGGCTAATTGGAAGCAGGATTTTACTAGCCCTGTTGGAAGAACTACTAACCCAACAAAAATGACCTACTAGCCCGAGTTTGCCTTACAAATTCAGTTTGCTGCAATATACAATGAATTCTATAAAAAAATATCCAATTAGCAGATATATTCAATAAATCGATAATTGAATATTCATTGAATATACTGTTATAATGAGTTGACCAAATTCCGAGATGGTACAAGTCTTGACCAGTGCTACATGTATACATGGTTATATAAAAGGATTGGAGTAATTTTTATCAGATATATCATCACATTTAATTTGTGTAAAAGAAATATCAGCTGGTTATATGTAATGCTTATATTTGTTTTCAGTTTTAAAATTCTATTTATTAAAATAAATCAAATGACCTCAAATATTTATGTGAATAAATATCACCATCCATAGTTTGTGTCTTTTATAACTGTTTTATAAACGAAGTACAGTAATATCCATATTTACATGATTTACATTTATCACAGGTAAGCTAATTGTGGGCTATAAATAGATTACAAACTGAGCACAGTCTCTAAATTGAAATTGTATTTGTTATTTATTTTATTTCTTTAAAAATCGAATTTATTTGAGTATCAATGAAGATAATCATGATTGATGAAATATTATTGCATCAAATTCTGGGAATCCCTGATGACGTAGTCGAATCTGATTGGCTAAGAGCCTAAGATAGAATAGTGATGAGGGGATTTTCAACTTTCTATTTTGGAAACGCCAAGAATTTTTTGTTACTTGTCCGTTGGGCATATTGGGTTACAAGTTTTGGTTGCCCAAGGTCTAAATGCTGTAGTCCCGGGCGTCAGGCTAGTGGATTTTTTAATCCCTGCAAATATAAGAATAAAAAGATGTTGTATGATTGCCAATGAGACATGTCCATTGAGAAAAGAAAAGTTTTAAATCACAAATTAATTTTTTTCACCTAAAGATACAAGGTTGGATGAATGGAATCTGGGTCTGTTCGCTCCCATTGGCTTTCATGTTTGCCCCCTTTCACGTTCACACCCTTTTAATTGGTTTTGTGTTGGAATACATTTGTAATCATGTTTAAGGTGGTATGGGAGTATCAATAAAAAATTTGTAAGGGTTCTGCGGAACCCAGTGTCTCGCCTACTTTTGCTGTTAATCGAAGGCTCAACAAAATGAGGAAAAAAATCAATAAAAATATTCCTTTAGATAAGTACTATCTTTTGATTGTAAGAAGCTTCTGTCAAAGTTTGGTATAAATCCAGGATAGTTTATGAATCTAATAAATGTTTTAAAAACTTTAACTGCAGACTGTATTTATATAATTAATGTTAACTGGAAGAAAAACTAAGTCATTTATAAGTTAAATACGGATAAACAGGTACAAAATTTTAACAAAATTTTCTTCTAGATACTAGCTTTTGATCATAAACAAGCTTCTGTCCAAGTTTGGTACAAATCCAGGATAGTTTGAGAAAGTTATTAAAATTTTAAAAACTTTAACCACAGAGTGAATGTAATGTTTCCCAGCAGAAAAACTAAGTCCATTTACAAGTAAAATACGGAAAAACAGGAATTTTATTTTTACAAAATTTACTTCTGGATACTATCTTATGATCATAAACAAGCTTCTGTCCAAGTTTGGTAGAAATCCAGGATAGTTTAAGAAAGTTATTAAAATTTCAAAAACTTTAACCACAGAGTGAATATTTGTGGACGACGACGACGCCGACAGAATGTAGGATCGCTATGTCTCGCTTTTTCAACTAAAGTCGAAAGGCTCGACAAAAAAGATAGAATATGTTTATACTTTGCCAAAATGTAGTATATATTGTGATATGTTCAAAAATATAATAAAAATGATAGGTCACCAAGCATTTTTTCAAGCTACAGGGTTGTGACAAAATGACACATTTTGTAATAATTATACAGGAAAAAAACATCATTATGTGATTAGAAGCTAAACTAAATGATAGAATTGTAAAATAAAATACGAGAAGATAGCTTTTAGAAAATGCTTTGAGAATATCAAAAGAAAAGATAGGGTCACCGAATGCTTTTTTCGGCTAAAATATAAAATAGCAAAATTTCATGTAGATTCCTTCAGAAAATACACTATATCAGAGTTACCTCCCCTTAAAATGCCAATTTAAAAACATTAAAGATCAAGCAAAAATAATCTTTAACTTGGGAAAATATTAATATTTATAAGTTAAAATCTTACAATATTGTTCTTTTAAATGAAAATTCACCTTAGTTATCTGCATTCCTCTTCAAATTTTGCTGACTTGATTGTAAATCTGGACCTTAGGTTCTCTGTTATTTACAATCCAAGATGGCAAAAACACCCATACTAACTTAAGTTAGTGTATTGCTATAAATGAGTTTTTTTTTATTGTTTCCTCAAAAACGTAAACAGGTTTGTTTTAGTGTTTTATTATTTATTATGATGAAATTAATCATGAATAAAAGATTGTCATGAAGATGAGGCAAAGTTCATTCATCTAAATTGTTCTAATACTTGTATTAAAAAGAAAGGCAGAAGATACCAAATCTTCATGGAGTTTACTCATACCTTGAGCTAACTACATGCAGTATTAACATTAAAGCTAGTTATAACAACAAGTATGACTTTCAAACACAGAACAATAATACCAAATTTGGCCTTGCAAAAACCAAGGATTTGTATAGTTATAAATACCAATAAACAGCTAGTATAAATCATACATAATTAACATTAATAACTAATCATCAAATCACCAAAGAAATATTTCGTTTAAAAATTCCCAAAATTTTAATAATGAAACTTAAATATTTTGATAAATTCATCTTAAACATCTAATAATTCAACTTTATTTGAATAAAAATAGGTGCGAACGAACACCAGGGGGCGAACATGTATTTGGAGCGAACGGACCTGATACCGGATGAATGTCCCCCATGAAACACCAAACGAAATTAAATGAACTCAGACTCTTTTGAAGTTTGTCTGGCCTTTATGTTTAATGAGTTTATTTTTCTTTTTCTTTGTGTGATATTATAAAATATATTCAATACTTTATTCTCATTGAAATTGATATCCCTATTAAAGATATTAATTATTTTGTCAGTATTATATTTTGCATTACGATTCCTTGACCATGTATTAGGTATTGTAACAGAGAGTTTGACGATGAGAAGATACTTATACAGCACCAGAAAGCCAAGCATTTCAAGTGTCATATTTGTCATAAAAAATTATACACAGGACCTGGTCTTTCAATTCATTGTATGCAGGTAAGTTACATCAAATATCTCTAGCAAACGATCTGTTGAAATCTGTGAAGAATTCAATTTGTCAGACCTTCTGGCTGATACAACATTTTTCTAAGTTAAGTTCATCATCAAATACTGCAGATATCCCCATCCTCATCAGATCCGATTATTATAGGTCTCTTGATTTGCTAAAAGTCTGCTAGGAATATGTACAGACCTTTTCTACATGTAGCTATTATGTATATTGGTCCATTTGGAATTTTGGAAATTTGTGTCAACAGACCCAGTGTTTTCCCCATAAATTTCATATAGATGATGATCCTGAGAAACAATGAATTTTGAAATACCATCTTGTTTCTAGAAATTATAGCATCACATCCATAACACAATCTATGGAAAAACCCTTTTCAGATGCATGTAGCATCACTGCATGAGTCAAAATGGTCAATTTTCAAAATTATTGATAATTTCAATATTTGATACCGACTAGACAGGGCGCATGTACACTTGGCTCCAAATTCAGAAAAAAGGAGCAGTAGTTGAAAGGCACTTTTCTCTCCTACTAACCACCCATAGTTCATTGTGATGCTTTATGTTTCAGTAACAAGATGACATTTAAAATTTCTGGGCCGGAAGAATGCTTTTTTTTAAATTAAAAAAAAATGCAGTTTTTGGTCCAGATCTCTAGTTTCAAAATATAGGCCTTATAAATACATAGTAAGCAAGCATTTTAAAAAAAGATGTAACTTGTTACTTTTACAAGATGACTACATGCACAGCTTTATTTAGGTACACAAAGAAAAAATAGATAAAGTTCCCAATGCATTACCAGGAAGACAGAATACAGAGATAGAAATATATGGTATGGAAGGAATACCTGAGGAAGATCTTCAACAACATGAAAAACAAAAACTAGGTAATGAAATAGCAAAATTAAGAGATATATTAATTATTTGATTTTGATATTGGATAACAAATTTTGGGAAATACAGGATAAATGTACCTTTAAAGTTTTTTTTGGTGTGTAAAATGTTCAATTTTGTTGGATGTTGTTTCATTGACATATTCAATAATTCCCAACCGTTTTTATTATGCCCCCGCCGTAGCGGTGGGGACATTAAGTTTTACCCATGTCTGTTGGTCCGTACGTCCCAAAATTGGTTTCCGTTTTCTAACAAGTTTGCCTCAACCAAATGTTATGAAACTTATACACAATGCTTATTACCACAAGACACAGATCAAGCTAGAATTTTGGTGGCGTCACTTTTGCCATTCTGAGTGATGCCCCTTTACAAATGGAAAAATTGCTGAATTTTTTGTTTCTGTTCTCTAACTTTAGTTTGCCTCAACCAAATGTTATGAAACTTATACACAATGCTTATTACCACAAAACTCAGATCAAATACAAATTTGGGTAGCGTCTCTTTTACTGTTCTTTATAACATTATATGCCAGCGGGGTATCATCTGTGTCTCATGGACACATTCCCCATTTATTTCAGTAGGAATATAGAAAAAAAATCACTATTTTCTGGAATATTTAGTTTGAAACTTTTTTTAGAACAATTGATATTGGGAACCCCATAGACAAGGCTTGTAACTTTTAAGGACCTACACAACTGATTATTGATAGCGACATTATCAATTCGATATGTTGGAAATGTCTGATATTTTTCCCACTGGAATTGATGCACACCAAATTTTTTAATCAACCCTTTTTGTTCAAGGTATCTGAGTTAGTCTTCATGGTTTATGATAATTTTATATAAAAGTAAGGAAATGTGATATGATTGCCAATGAGACAACTATCCACCAGAGTTTAAAGGAAGTGGATGTAAGCAATTATAGGCCATTATTATGCAGCCTTCAACAATGAGAAAACCCAATAGTGTATAGTAATCTATAAAAGATTCAGACATGAAAAATTTGAAACAATGCTTACAAGAAAACTCGCTGCTTGATCTATAACAAAACAATTTACAAAAGGCAAATTTGACAGATTTTAAACCAACTGCAACCTCGAAACTACAGGCTCCTGAATTGTGACAAGCACATAAAGAATGTAGAGGGGTTAAACATGTTTGTGAGAACTAATGTTTTTTTTTCTTCCTGCAGACCACCCAGCTAAAAGGTTAAAAGATGACAGTGATGACGATGACAGCAATAGTGGCTTTCCTACAACTAGCACTAGTAATAACATGCCACCGATGCCACCTGTACCAATGCCACCATTTGGTATGCCAGGGCCAGGAATGCCTCCTATGCCACCAGGGCCTATGGGTCCTGGGCCAATGATGGGGCATATGGGTCCAATGGGACACCACATGGGTGGACCAATGCCTCCTATGGGTAGGTTGAAACTAAGAAATTGTTAATACTATTTGTTTTAGAATCAAAGCTAAAAATATCAAAAAAAGATTTAGTCTAAGGAAGATTTGCATTGCCTGATGTCTCCAAAAGAAGAATCTATGCAAGACTGTGGAATACTGTCAACCCATTATCAAGAAAATGGGAATTAACAAACTGATTTAAGACAAAATGGCCATGTCCATGTTTTGGTATGGGAAACCGCAATGTTCTCTATGTCTAAATTTAGAAGTTCGGTTGAATTTTGTCAAGGTGTTTACAATGAGTTGTGGATAAACAATGTGAGACACAGATCATGATCCAAGACAACAGAAGTGATCCTGATGTGTTGCTACAGATTTGTTGTCAGGTGACACAAAAATATACAGTATATAGTCTTGAGTTTGACTTGCAAAGAAAAAATCCAGAGACTGACATGTACATATAAATGTAATATTAGCAATTGAAAATCAAAGAATCATATGTGAAGGAATGCAAAAATATTTTACAAATATGTCATACTTATATTGCAGAGAAATTAATAGGTTTTTTTTTTGAAAGGTTTGAAATATGCGAACTTTTAGGAGCTAAATAAATATGTTTTCGTACTTCATCTTTTTGTGATATAAATTATGTTTACACTATGATATCAAAGAACTTTCTGATAAGATTAACAAAATTTGCTGTCTGGCTCTGTTTATATATTTTTACATTGATATGTTACCATTTGCTCAATATTCCTCCCAAGTATAAAAGCTCAGAAGTATAAAGCTGAACTTTTTTGCGTTTCAATGAAGAATTTTTACACAATCTGACCTTTTCTTCTAGCTTAATAACAGCAAAAAAAATTCTGGTAAGAGCTACTCCAGTAAAAAAACAACACCTGAGGGGGCTTACTTTGGTGTATGACCACCTGCATTTAGAACTATCTTTTCATTAAACCTAATAATACAAATAAGGAAAATACCCCCCCGCAAGGTTTCCAACCCCTTTTGATTATTTCTTGGACAAGCTTGTAGCACTTGCCACTGTAGAGATGAGTGGCCAAGTCTTGAGAAAATGGAATCTTTTTATGCCCCCGCCGTAGCGGTGGGGGCATTAAGTTTTACCCTTGTTCGTCTGTACGTACGTTCGTCCGTACATCCCAAAATTGGTTTCTGTTCGCTAACTTGAGTTTGCCTCAACCAAATGTTATGAATCTTATACACAATGCTTATTACCACAATATACAGATCAAGTTTGAATTTTGGTGGTGTCACTTTAACCGTTCTAGAGTTATGCCCCTTTTGTAAATGGAAAAAATGCAAATTTTTTATTTATAGGTAATTTTACCAGTGTTTTTTAAATATTTTAATGAATACATATGTTTATTCATTGCAGGCATGGGGCCAATGGGGTAAGTAATTTTATAACTGATCAAATATCCTTGTTTTTTGCATAAATTGTTGCAATGCATTAAGTTTTACTAAGCAAGTGTATTGTCCACTTCCATTAAGTACCAAAATTATTCTGAAGAAGTATTGATATGAAAATAAGAAGATGTGGTAGTATTGCCAATGAGACAACTATCAACCAAAGAATGTAGATGTAATCAACTATATGTCAACCTACAATCTTCAATAATGAGCAAAACCTATGCCTTATAGTAAGCTATAAAAGGCCCAGAAATGACATAGAAATTGAGAAACCACCAACTTGAATTATATACAAACAATTAACAAAAACTAAATATTAACCAGTAACCAATGACAACCAATGAATTGAACACTCCTGACTTGAGACATGAAAACAAACTGTAAAGATCAGTTGAAAAAGGATTGACTCATCAGAAAAACACAAAGCACAAACAACAACAAAGTTGACTTATCAATCTCATTTTCAGTATGCCACCCAGACACCATCCAGGGATGCCAATGCCACCAAGGCCACCACCATTCATGCATGGAGGCCCACCACCAGGTCCCATGATGGGAGGACCAAGCATGCCAATGTCAGCTCCATCTAAGCCATTATTCCCATCAGCTGTTCAGGTATAAAATATGTTAGGAAAACAACTAGTATTTTAAGTTGGTGCTGATCATCTTGAAACTTTTGTGATTTGTTGATTAAGATAGGATCTATTTTTTTCAAGAATAAATGTATTGCAATGCTTGATGAATTGAAAATTTCATTTTAAAGATATCACAGTTAATTATGATTAGAAAAAAATGTCAAATAAATGCCCTTGAATCATACAGAAAATGGAAACTTGCATTGGTCATCCATGTTTTTGAGAGAGAACAAAACTGAATGTTTGATGCTAAAAATGGTTTCACATAATCAGTTAATTGAGAAGAAAAATAATAAACAAAAAAACTGTGTGCAGATCCCGATTTCAGTCAATATGAAAAGCACTGGTCTAGGTTTCTCACTAAGGAATTTTTGAAGTAGGGTCCTGGCACTCAGCAATTTTGGCTATGGCAGGTCCAAGCGTGTGAAAGATCAATTTAATTGCTATAGAATTTATTATTTTAGTCCCCATGGCAAAAAGAGCAAGGAAATGACAATATATTTAGATTATTTTTAAACTTTTGTTATACAATGATCTTTTGATATAAAATGATGATATATGCTCAGTTGATACAACATTTCATAATCTTTATGCTTCTTTGGACTCACCAGTTTTTGAAAAAATGAGTCCCGACTCAAGGATTCATGGACTCAAATTGGTGAGACAGTAATTCTGACTGGACAATGAGAAGCAAAATGACTGTTGTTCAGATGTTGAGAAGATGTTGGCCATTGGTTCAGTAATATTGATTATGCATTGTACAAACAAATTGTGACTTTTTTCAGTTTTAGCTGGTAAAATTGTATTCTATCTGGCTTTTCACTTTATATTAAGTTTCCAGCATCAGTATTGTTCTTTCTTTATTTACAGACATCAACTGCTCCATCATCAGTCTCATTATCACATTCATCCAACCCTGTAACATCATCTGGTCCCTTGTTCAAGACGGCACCAGCTACAAGCAGTGCACCACCCAAGCCTACATTCCCATCAGCAGCAGCAGTTTCAGCCTCTCCACCATCAAGTGCAACTATCACTGGAGCACCACAGATTAAAAAACCAGAATCTAGTTCAGGTTTGACCTCAAAACTAATGCATCCAGACGAGGATATATCTCTGGTAAGTAAATGATCTAAGGTTTTACCATACTGCAGGTAGGAGAAATCATTGAATTTTCACATATCTATTTTGTCCTTTTACTATAAATACATTAAATGTTAGTATGTTAAAAAAGTCTGTTTACCAAAATCAACTTTACAAATTAAGTTCTTTTAAAATAGTCAGTGCAAATCTAGAGAGGTACTTGAGTGAAAGAAAAAAGAAACAATCAGAAGGAGAATCCAAATTAGACAGATCCATTAATCTGTGTAGACAGTGACAACGTGTATGCAATTAGAACTCACATTTAAATCTGTAGCAATTAATGCATTATGAAAGATCTTTTTTTTTTACCTGGCTTGAGAAAGAAATGATATTTTACAAAGTAAGAATATTTTCCCCTTTAACCTCATAGTTACCTATATATGATTGGATGTTATACTAACACAATGCTTGTGAAAACCAATTTTAAACTTGCAACTAGTTAATTCAGTTTTAATTTCACCATTAGCAGGTTTAACTATTGGTAGATATTAAAATCAGTATTACTCAGGTGACTTTACTTTAGAACTTCAGATTTCAACAACTGATTTGTATAGAACAGCTTTTAAAAATTAAAAATCAGACATTTATAAACACATGTATGGTATATGCTCTTAATCAGTAGTTTGAAGTAGTTCAATTAGTTTAATAAAAAAGTAAGGATTTTGCAGTCTTTTAACAGTTAATTTGATTAACATAGACATTATTGTTTATTGTGTAAATAGTGATGATGCCAAACTCTAATGCTTAGTATACATAGTACATGCATGATAATGGCTTGTGTTAATTAAGGAATTTGAAAAATAATCTACAATGCACCCACAGTTTTTGCATTTGTCTTGTTCATAAATTTTCACAGTTTATGCAAGAGATCCTGGTTATGATTGACAATAAGATTTAAAATCTCACATTGTATAATAAAGTTTCATGACATAAGACATTAAAGGGGATAGGATTCTCCCTGTACATTTTTTTGTAGTATTATATTTTGGTTTGGATTCAAAACTTTATAACCCTCTTTTAGATTTGGTTTAGTGTTTCATTTTGTCAGTCAACCCTTCATTTTTGTCTCGCCTGCGGTGAATGTTTTGGAAAGCGAAACATAGGTGTTGCTTTCCTGCGGCAATGGCGGAGGATGCATCAACAAATCTTAAGTATTCTGCTTAAGTCAGTTTGATAGGAACTACTTGTGATAGATCAATGATATTTTTTATAAAGTTGCATTACTATCACAGTGATCTGGAAGGATTTATTCTCTATGGGCCCAGGGCCCCCCAAAAATAAATTCAATGGGCCATTTTTAGAATTAATGGGCCATGTTGTCAAATGAGTGGGCCATTCGTTTACAATTAAATAAAAAATAAAAAAAAGTGTATATTTCACTTTACTTACAAGTATGATTCTAATTAATATCATGGATATTGTTCCTGTGATTTTGTAATTTCAATTTCAATGAATATACAATAACTTCTTCCAAACCGGGTAATATTTACGATAACCTTTATTTACAATGTTAAAACTGGTACTGTTCCCTTGTTCATGTTCATGGTTTTTTTACATTGAATTTGGGTCTTCGTCGATACCATACTTATTCCAGACGTTCCGTATTAGAGGACATTTCTGGCATTTCCTCTGCACTTGTATTATTATTACTTTATCACGATGACAATAATAACAGTAGAGAGCAACGTTAATTGATAAGACATAACAACAATTCGCTGAAGGCATCATAGTTTACAAAATGTCAAAACGAGCAAAAAACCAAAAAAATTGACAAGGACAGTTAAGCCCCTTTTATGGAGACAAATACTATACTATTCATAAAAAGGATTTTGGGTTTTTCAATCGAAATAATAGCAAGCTTACTTAAAAGATTATAATTAGAGAAGAATTCTCGCCTGTACTAGCCAATTTTCACAAATTTAAAGTTGTTTATAAAAAATTATATCATGAATAATGGTTAATTACGTTTTTTGGGTAATCAGTCATACCGCATGTTGCTATTATTACCATAGGATAACACCCGAGACGTCCCAAAAATATATAGGTGCTCCTATCATTGGAGTAAACACTACACAGTTGTGTACTCGCACATGGCAGCACGAAATACGATCGGAAATCCATTTGCCGATATCTCAACGTTTCAAAACGAAGTGAAAATATCATGCGCCACGTGGGCGCTTACATTTGTCACTCTATGCGCCATTTCTGGTCGATAAGCGCAATTGGCGAAAGGCGCACGTCCTTCCCGATCACTGCTATCAGTACATATCAGTTTGATGACTATTTCAAGGCCCTGCCCCTAGGTCGTGGTCCAGTCAGTGGCGGATCCAGAAATTTTCATAAGGGGGGCCTGCACCAGTCATGCTTCAGTGATTCCCTAAATAATCACCAAATTTTTCCCACAAAAGGAGGGCCTGGACACCCTGGGCCCCCCTTAAATCCGCCTCTGGTCCAGTGATTGAATTGATCAGCAATGTTGCTGTTCATCAGATTGTCTTTTTTCCGAATTTTCTGACAACAGGCAAGACATATCTCGGTGTCAATAGTTTATTTTATTTATTTAAAGTATCTTTCTAGTTAGTCTTGAAAAATGTCTGCATGGTGAGTTTTTTCTATTTTAAAGACTTTGTTAATAATGACACCTTCAGCTTCACTAAATTCTATCCTATAGCCCTGTTTTCAATATTAGTTCATGGATGTATTCAGGTCCATTGTCTATGCATGTTTATCTACATTGTAAAAATTGAAGAAGAGTATCAAATCTAATCAAACCAAGGTGTGACTGAAGTTTTGAAAATAAACTGATGGCATCTCATATCAAATCATCACCAATCTCCCTATTTCACAGACATTCATTCAACACCAGCAACAGGAAATTTCAATCGATATATCTTGCATATCCTGTAGAAACATGGAGTTTATAAGAGCATCACTTACACGTAGTTACATTTTTTTCCATTTATATCCTTAAATTTGTTAATACACCAGTAATTAATTTGTGGGATGTGTTTTTTATCTTGTTATTTACAGGAAGAAAAAAGAGCAAGCATGCCCAGATATCAGAGTATGATGAACCCTGGAAAACAGCAACAGCCACAAGGTATGTGTCAACCTTCAGAACTAAGAGTGCCTGAGGACATTTCTTATTCTTCAATAATTTGCATTTTAATTTTCAAACGATATTGGTCCCATTGTCACAAACTTTTGTAAAAGTAGTCAGTTCTTCGTAAGTTGCTTCATAAGCTTTTTGGAGGACTGTGAGCTTTTGAAGTTTTCTATAAAAAGACTATAAAAACACTTACAGCAGAAGCTATTCATTGTTACAAACTTTTGTTAAAGTAGTCAGTTCTTGGAAGGTTGCTTTATAAGCTTTTTAGAGGATTGTCAACTGTTCCAATCTGAGTAAAATATTGTCAGATTTTCTGATAGATAAACATTAGAAATAAGACTGCTTTTTGAAATCAAAAATTGTAACAGGCAGAATTTGCATAAATCTTCAATGGTAAAAGAGGTGGGATTTGCATAGATCTATAATGGAAAAAGTGGTGGGAGAGAGTTCAGTATCACATTAATGAAATATATTCTAACTGGATAAGAGCTAAATTTTTGGATTCCTGATGAGAATTATTCAATAAATCGAACATTTAAGTTTATATGCTTTTAACCTTTTATTTTAAGTTAAGAATATACAATAATTATGGTTGATTTTGTTGTAGGAATGCTTTTAACCTTTTATTTTTCATTAAGAATATACAATTATTCAGGTTGATTGTGTTGTAGGTATGATGGGGATGTCTTCTAACAATATGTACAATCAAGGTGGATATGGACCTCCACCTGGTGGCAATAGACGATACTGAAATCATGGATTATCCACAGAAACTAGTGCATCATCTTTTTATCGGTTTTAAATGTTGTTCTTTTATTTATATTTTATAGAAATGTAATATTGTGTTGAATAATGGGACAAAAGCTGGAAATGTGATGCTATACATGCCTGTTTATAAACAGGTAAGCACAAAGTCACATGTTGTTATTAAACTCACATTGTTCCACAGACTCCCATGATAATTATAACTGGTAAGTGAAATCAAATAAAAGAGGTCAATTATCTCTACGGACATGTAAGGTTTGTAATTTTATTGTATTTGTACATTATGGAAAATTGTCAAATATTTCCTTTTAATAAAGATCTTACATTGTTATGACATTTATATAGAGATTTTAGTATTTATTGAACTACTGTGGTGTTTATACATTTGCAGTATAACTTAATATCCAATATTGATATAAACCTGTAACCAAAGCAGATAGATCATGCTTTTTATCAAACATGAGTGTTTAAGAATTGCTATTCTTGATTATTTATCCACCTTACAAATTATAAAAAAATATTGCTGAGGATAAGTAGAAAATTCACCTGGATTATGAATATCTCAAACTCTACAGGATGAAAGAAAAAATAGAATGTCAAATATTGCTATAAAAAGTGTATGGAAATTCTAATCTAAATGATCAATAATGCTTTAAGAACTTGTTAAATGGTTGAAAATAATTGATAAAATTTTGCTACTCAATAAATTTTTTAAAGAAGATCTGATATATTAATTAAAAGATTATGCAATTCCATGCCAACAAAGAATTCAATCTCTGTCCAATCAGGATAGAGGTGATAGCAAATTGTGATATTATATTAATTAGGTGTATTTGTTAAAAAATAAAATTCTTTAAACAGCTTTGTGACTATCTTGCTTTGAAATTTGAGGACAAAATCAAAAAATTTTAAATATTAAAATTAAATAAATTTTAAGAAAAATCAAAATGAAAATTTTTGTGTTAAAAACACTCCTAGAGCTAGGTAATAGAAACACCTGTGATCAGGATGGAACCACATTCAAAATGCTTGTTCAGGCTGTTTATTTACAAAATTTTTAATACCAAAAATGTTTTGATAGTATCCAGTTGTTGTAAAAAGTGAATGTAACTTCTAGTAAAAAAGAAAGACTACTCTTAAGATTATTTAAACGGCCTGAACAAGGCATGCACTAAAGGCAAGTGGTGTCACAGTATATTCTACTGTTGGGCTGTTCTTGCCCCCAACATTATGTTGGTGACTTTTTATATTTATTCTGAGGGTAACATGTAAGACAAGGCAGTATTTTTTACAAGGCAAGTGCTTGTCACAGTGATTCTTGTCACTGTTGGGCCATTTAAGGGTCCCCAACATTTGTTTGCTGATGTTGGTGACAATTTTTTTAAAAACAATTTTGGCTGTAAAGTTAGAAGATAACAAGAGAAGACAAATAAGGCAAGTAAATTACTTGTCACAGTAAAATTAGTTTACTGTTGGGTCAAAAGACCCCCAACAATATGTTGGCGACAAAATTATTGTTTCTGTTCAAATAATGCAATTTATTAATTTTTTTTTAAAGATAATTATGGTCACAGTGTATTTGCACTGTTGGGTATTTTTGCCCCTAACAAATTGTTGGTGATCAAAATTTTTTTTTCGTTCAAATTTTTGGTGAATTTTCAGGTCACAGTGTATTTCACTGTTGGGTTATTTTTGCCCCCAACTTTAAGTTGGTGACCATTTTGATTGAGTATTTTTGTGCATGAACTAATAGAATGGTTTGGATGATAAGATAGGATAGATTTTATGAATGGTCACAGTGACACTCACTGTTGGGTAATATTTTACCCCCAACCAATTGTTGGTGACTATTTTTTTGTGGATTTTATATCAGATCATTTTTAAGACTTTTTGCTTTTAAAAAAAATATTTGATTTGTTATAAAATTATAGCCAAGTAAAAACTGCTTTGTATTTTGATATAGTAGAATAGTCGTGTCTTTTCCAAAATCTCATTTAAAAGACTTTTCCAGGACTCACCAAATTATAAACAAATGTCATTGGCAATTTTCTAGCAGTACATTCCTTTCATAGATTGCTTAGGTATGTAAATAGTCATAAACCTTGGAATATGCAACATTTAACAACTACACCAAAATAAAAGTTCTTGCACAGAATTAATTTTCGATAAGATTATGGAAAATTTAAACGGTTTAAACTTTAAATGTATTAAAATAATCAGTTAACGGTATTGATTTGATTAAGAAAAACAAAAATCAATGTTGATTTCTGATGACATTGATATAATTTGGTGTGACCTTCTTTAATAAAGGAATAGGTATATAAGTGAATGAAAAATTCTTTTGAGCATTAGTGAAAATAGAGAGAAAACCTGCAAAATGTAGTAGTTATAATATAGAGTGATGGTATGCTTTTAAGTATCCTATTAATATATATTTGTATTGGTGCCATAACAGTTTTTCCTAATTTTTTTGTTTCGTTTTGACACCTTTGCAAAGGATGTTTTCCTCTCGGCTTTCTGATAGCAAAGGAAAGAAACATCAACATGTTGTAGTCCTTTTCTGATCTATAAAATATTACAGAAGTCGATTCAGTAATGTTTTTAATTACTATTAGTTGGACTAACAGGTTTACTGCTAATGCAACCAGTATACTGTATAGTGCTTGACCTATATTAAATAGATCTTTTTTACGTGATTGAATACTAAAGGTTTACCATGAGATTTATGAAATGGATTCTAACTATGAAGTCTACATTATATCCGCTAATTTGTGATGGAGAGAAGGATGCGACTTCATTAAGACCACACACTATCATTTATAACAATAAGCCAACAGGTTAAGTAAGGTATGAAGGTAAGTTTTTGACGAAAGAAAAAGTAATCTGTTTGGTGTTTATAGAGAAAATAATACCTATAAAACCATGCATTGATAAATGTTTCTCCACTTCTCTGTATGCTAAGGATTGTTGTCAGTGATAATGTTGTTACATTTTCCCTGTCACCCATTCATGTTCAGCCAGAAAATGCTTGTCATTTCTCACACAAATCTGTCAAATATGCAGTAGTCATCTTGATGTGTAACGGATATTTTTAAGTCTTTTCTGTTGAACCAGTTTAAAAATTCCAGTCAATATGTTTTTATAGAACAATTAACTTTGGAATAATTGTATAAACATCATGTTACAAGACTGGAAACCTTTAGATATATAAGGTCTATTCAAATGGAGATTATTAATAATTGGAGGTTTATGCAAATAGAGGATTTCTTCAAATATTTTTGAAATCTTATTCGACAGTCTAGATTATTTATCAACTTGTGCTTATACATTGAAAGCTGTGACAACAATTCCCTGGAAACTGGATATATTCCTATAAGGACGAACAATAAACGTCCTATAGTTATTCAAACAACTGATATGAGCAGATGATTCAGCCTCGAAGAGGTTGTAGAAACAGACCAATAGAACAATGAAAGATCATGTGAATATGCTGTTCACCCAGTTATGTTTATAATTGCTTATCATAAACTTGCTGTCTATTGTATTGGAGTTGAATGATTTATTTAAAACACTGATTCAGGATATTGAGTGAACATTAGGTAAAAGCATCAAGCACCACTGACAAGTTTTTAGGATAGAAATTTTTAGTTTAAATGGAGAGGAGGAGTAAAAATTGAGTAAGCTTCAAAGAGAGTGAAATAATAAATTCATTCAAATGACTGTTCAACTCCAATAAAGTCGTATGTACTTTCGTACCTGTCATTTACTAAGTACATGAAATCACACAGGTCTCACGGTTGTTTATAGTTGCTCTAATAAAATGACATGTGTTTTAAAGATAATGTTATTACATTGCTTCAATTGTGACATTTGTGAAAATTTAAAAATACCTATTGGCCATAACACTTTTTCAAGTTATCGTTTGTTTAATTTTTTCAACAGTTCAGGTTTAAGAAATATGTTTAAACTGTTAGATGTAAAAATGTGTTGCTTTTTGATCTACAGAAAGGAAAATGCCTCTTAAATAAGCCCAATGACTTGTGAAATAGAGGAATCTCACAAGTTATGTTTTAATAAACAAGTTTTGTTCAAAATACTATGTGGCTCTGATGGTGAACAAGCTACAATGTCTGACAATGACTAATATAACAGTGAACAATATAAAAAATTATTACGGAACACACGCATAAAAACATTTCTCCATCCACCAAACAAAGAACATATAAAAGAAAAGCTGTTCGAAAGTTTTTTTTTTTTAGTTCATGCCAAATGAATTTTGTAGCAACGTAAGCTTTTGCTTCACATCTGTCGTGCTGTCGGTTACTCTACATTGCTAATGACTTTTTAGCTCACCTGGACTAAAAGGATATGTGAGCTTTTGCCATCACATGGCATCCGTCCATCGTCGTCGGAAACTTTATAAAATTATTCTCCTCTGAAACTACTGGACAAAATTTAACCAAAGTTTACATGGATGTTCCTTACGGTATCTACTTCTAAAACTACCCGGTGATTTGACCCTACACCTCGCATAGCCGCTGCTGCTAAAAATAATATCACCTGCGGAATTACAGAAAAGTCGACAATCATTTAAGAGTTATTGTCCCGGAAATGTTAACTCGAATAATTCAGGGCCCTCTATCCACTACCGTTTCTCGAGGTTAATGGAGTGGTCGTAGTGATCGGAATATAAAGATTGAATTATTCGGGTTACAGAAATGTCAATTTTTAGTAAACTTCAAAGTTTTTGGCTAATATCTCAAATATACAAGCATGAAGATCAAATCTGACGTGCTTAGAATTAATCAGCAGGTGAAGGTCTATCAACTTCGGATACTAGAGATAAATTGTACAAGCAAAAATGTTCAAAAACCAGATGTACAAATAAGACAGCATGGCAAAATTGTCCTTGAAGAAGATTTTTACAGAAAAAGATTGGATAAACTATAAATAGCAAAAATGTTGAGAAAAAAAGGTTCTACAAATAAGTCAATTTGGACGTTACGCAAGCAACAGTTTATTACCCCTGGAAGAAGTTATTGCCATTGAAAGGTGGGTTTTACCAGTTCGTGCATTTTTATGCCCCGCCGTAGTCCAAATAATTATGACGTCTTGAAAGGCTATTATATTTTTTTTTCTTTGACGCCTTACATCGATGTAAGGCGTCAAAGAAAAAAATATAATAGCTTTTCAAGACGTCATAATTATTTGGACTAGCCCCGCCGTAGCGGAGGAGGCATTAAGTTTTACGCTTGTCCGTCCGTACTTCCCGAAAGGTTTCCGTTCTCTACTTTAGTTAGCCTCAACCAAATGTTATGGAACTTGTACACAATGCGTATTACCACAAAACCCAGATCAATTTTGAATTTGGATGGCGTCACTATTACCATTCTACAACTTGAGTTAAGCCCCTTTACAAATAAAAATTGCTGAATTTTTGGTTTCCGTTCTCTAACTTAAGCTAGCCTCAACCAAATGTTATGGAACTGTACACAATAGTATACTTATTACCACAAAACTCAGATCAAGTACAATTTTTGGTAACGTCACTTTTACCGTTCTGGAGTTATGTTCACTTGTAAGGTTAAAAGCTAGCGGGGCATCATCTGTGTCCCACCGACACATTCCCCATCTAATTTGAAGAAACCATAATATATAGAGAAATATTAAACATGAAAGATGATCAACACACTAAGATCTACAAATAAAAGACATCATTCATGGCCGAAATTGTCAACCGACTTGTAGGAGTTATTGCCCAGGATTTTATGTGTGCTCGTAGAATATTATAGAAGCTATAATATATCAAACGTGCTCAGCAAAATAAGTCCATATGCTCGAAATCATCACTGCCCTTTAACATTGATTTTACCCAATTTTTCGCATTTTTGTAAAAATAACTGTTAGAAGAAAGCGAGAAACTAAAATGCAGAATAGAATTGTGTCAATTATGAGGATGTGGATTGGGTTGCAGAATAGAGAATTGTGGATAAAAGTGCAGAATAAAGGGCAAACAAAATACAGAATAGAGAAAAAAACAGGACAAAAAAAATAAGGATTTATATAGAGAATAATGGCCAAACATAAACTTTCAATACAGAAATGAACAACCCGTCATCCAGCCCCTTAATTATCTCGAAAACTTAAAAATTAAAATGTAAACAGAGAAAAAGGTTATCAATGCAAGATCTGCAAAAAAATATCACTAATAAGCGAATATAACTGATTGCAGTACGGGTAAGAATCGCCCTTGGGAGTCTCTTGTTACCTGATTTTAGTGCACCATTATTTATTAACAATGATGTTAAACTGCTCAGAACAAACAAATAAATCGTACAAAATTCAAATTGAAAATATATTTTAAAGATTCACAGCCCTTAATCAAACTTGAAAAAGGAACCTAAGTATGAACGGACTTAATGTAATTGGGAGAGGTCTCAAACAGTCGAAACTTATAGCTAATTTCCTAAATTGTCATATCCCCCAAAATATGGATGAAATGGTTAGGAGCAATAAAACGACTGACTCTAGTTTATGGAGTATTAAGATAATAAATTATATTGGAAGAATTGCCTGAAAGGGTAGCGTCGGTATTCTGACCATCGATAGTTCTACATCCGAGTCCTGAGAAGGCAGATATCTGGTATTGAGGAATCTATCCTCGCACATTTGTAATATGCTTCAAAGAAAGCATTATAATTGAATGCAAGTTGTTACCTGGTAGATCAGTCTTCTGCTGAAGTAGCATTATAATTGAATGTTAGTTGTTACCTGGTAGATCAGTCTCCTGCTGAAGTGGCATCAGCATGCAGTTATACGAGTTGGACAAAACAATATAATATTTCGTTAATACGAATGCGGAGTCTGTGTCGTATGACAAATAGAGACACGATCAAAACCAAAACAAATACAAACTTGTGAATAAAAGTTTTTTTTTACCGAAATATACAATACACCTCCATAGCTTAAATAAATCAGTCTAAATCACAAAATATTGGGGGGAAAAAAACATAAGAAAGAGAAAGTACCGAGAAAGCCTCACTGTTGAATTTTTTTCGAAATTCTAAGGATAATAGATAACCTTTGCTGCATTTGGCAAAACCCTTTTTGGAATTTTGGGCCTCAACAGCTCAATGATTAACTTTGTGCTTCATCCGGCATTTTAATTTTTTTGATTCGAGGGTCACTGATGAGTCTTTTGAAGACGAAACGCACGTATGGCGTACACAATTTTCATCCTGGTATCTATGATGAGTGTTTTTGAGACGAAGAACAGCATTTAAATCTTGATTTTTTCCTTTGCTATGGGATTTGTTGAGTACGTGTGGGGAATTTGTGTCATAAATTCATTTTATTATGCACTTTTTGAAATGTTTTTCCTGTATGCTGTATTGGGGTAATAGAAAATATATCGGTGCTTGAAGTATGCAATAATTGTAACATGGATGGTAATTTTTCCTTCTTTACCCTCGATGGAGTTAACTTCTAAATAAAGGTGTGTATTATCATAATGCAAATACATACAGTCCAAATTTATCAAAGATTCGACAAAAGCATGTATATTGAAATACATACAATATTTTGCTGTCAAAATATGAAAGAAGTAAAACAAAAAGCTTACGTCTTGAGCTAAGAATATAGTAAGCAACTTTTATTCAGAATTACAGAATAAACAGTTTAATAAAGTAAAAGATTGCTTAGGATATATAATGCAATATTTCTAAATCGTTCGAATATTGATACTAGTCGTCCCGCTAAATCCTACAATTTTAAAGAAAAAAAGGGGGGGGGGGTGAATTGGTTACCTTTTTAAATACATTTAAGTCTTAAACGGTCATGTTGATCTTAACATCATCTGATAAGTCTGAAAATTCAAAACTTCAGACAATTCTCCACGGTGACACAAAAGCAAGGGTTCGAATTCCTCTTCGGTAAGAACAAAAATTACTTCTCAACAAAGAGGCACGTTTTTTTCCCATTTGAGTAGCTTTTATTTGGTTGCGAACAAATGGAACTCTTGAATGAAAGAAAAAAAAACTATTGTAGTCATTTCATACGCACGGCGATCTGTAAACAGACGACTTTCAATTATATGTATAATGTTTTTTACCCATTATTATCTTTCGGTTGGAATTCTGTCTAAAGTAAAGGATTAGATCGCATGATGGACACATTCAGACACTTGTCTTTCGTTGATACCTTAGTTTAACTCTTACGTGTATTTACCACAACTCTGAAACTACACGTATAGGCTGTGAAGGCATGGGTTTTTTGTATGTCTAAATGACGAATATCCCATATATTGTATATTCATCCATTTCGTTGAACGGCCCATACAATTTTATCGTTTTAGACGCACGTTCAGAGAATTACATTCATTTGGGTTTTATTTCTACTTTTTATCTCGCCAGAATGCGAGACATAGGGAATACAATCCGGCGGCGGTGATGACGTAAACTATTTGTATAAAGCTTTTATATTTCAGAAGATATGCGACCTGGATAATTATCTTGTATGCAGATACCTTATGTTATAATCATGTTACGAAGTTCCCATTTGTAATCATTGTCCTTGACCTCCTTTTCAAGGTTCAATGACTGCCTGATAAAAAGATAATGTTTTTTTCTGTCATGTAAACTTCTGACTTATTAAGTGTAATAGGATAACTATATTCGGTATATGGGTTCCTTGCAAGGTCTACATGTCTGTCAGGGTTCACCTAACTTCGACCTCGTTTCATGGATCTGTGATCAAGGTTGAGTTTAGTTTCGGTGGTTTGGTATATTTCGCAGATACTATATCGTGTGTATGGAATGCTTGTAAGGTGTTCATGTCTGTCTGACAGGTTTCGTATGACCTTGACCCCATTTTCATGGTTCATTAGTCAATGTTAATTTTTCATGGTTTTGTCAGTTTATCAGATACTATTAGCAATAGGTAAATCAAATTTGGTGTATGGAATGACTGTAAGGTGTACATGACTGTCTGGCAGAGTTCATATGACCTTGACCTCATTTTCATGGTTCATTGGTCAATGTTAAGTTTTTGTGGTTTGGTTTGTTTCTCGGGTACTTTAAGCAATAGGACCACTATATTTGATGTGTGGAATGATTGTAAGGTGGACATGTCTGTCTGGCATGTTCATCTGACCTTGACTTCATTTTCATGGACCACTGTCATTCATTGATAATGTTAAGTTTATGTGATACATGTAATAAAACCTTCATATTACAGACTTTTAACATAAATTCAATTATAAGTAAAGCAGGCGAGACATCTTAGCGGGGTGCTCTCTTGTTTTCATGTGCTATTCAATTCAAAGTTTTGTCATATCATTCCGCATGATATTTATGGGTGATTTTTTTACACTCAGTCTGAACGTGAAAAGTGCAATAGTTGTAACAGATCTATACGTAATATACTTATCTACTGCATGTGAAAAAAACCATCTGGAAATATTAGTCATTTTGGATAAGATTGATATAAGTCTAGCTGATAGTGATTTACTTTTATTCCTGCATTTAAAAATTTGCGATGCTACGTTTTGTTTGTATACTGGGTCTATTTTCTGCCATTTTTGCAGCAGCAGTTCCAAAACCATGTTGCTCAAAACGTCAAATGACAGCTGACCTTCATCAAATCACTGGATCTTACACCAATGGTACTCCTTCTACCGTAGAGGTAAGTCATTTGTGGAAACCATCATTGAAATAAATGTGCAAACACAGTCCTGACTACAGTTAAAGTGACAGCCTCGATTTGAACTTCTCGAAAAGGACGTGTGGTCCCTCAAATAAACAGAAACCATTTTTTTCTAAATATTGAGCCTGGGAATACTTGGTTTATTTATTAGTTTAATTTGGCTTTGAACTTACTAGTGCTCTTAGATCGGTACCTTGTGTTTTTTGTCATTTTGTTTGATTTAGTGTATGCTTAGTGTCGATCTAAGTGGTCAAGCCATTTCCAACTGATGTTTATAGTTTATCCTTTTGTTGTGCTGTTACACCACTGTCTTCGGTTAAGTGAAGGGGTGAGAGAACAAACATGTTTAACCCCGCCACATGCATCATATGCCTATCTCATGTCAGGAGGCTGTAATATAGTGGTATAGTTGGTTGCTACTTGTCTTATGTTTTTCATTAATTTTGTTGATAATAGCATAAATCATGCTTTCAATTTTCTGTTTTTTAATTGTTAGATTTTGCCATGACTGGACCTATTATAGTTTTACTTTTATAAAATATTGCTCATTGTTGAAGACCGTACCCTGTAGTTAACATCCTCGTTCTTTGTCTCTGCTGCATAGCTGTCTCATTGGCAATCATACCACATCTACTTATTATTTTCATAAACAAAATAGGATTGTATGACGCAAATAATGAATAGTATATCACGAAAACATTGTCTGAAAGAACATTTTCTCGACCTCTTCGACCAATTGCACTGAACTAGTCCCTTTTATGAAAAAAAATCACTATATTTTTATGTTTTGTTGTAAACTCCCTACAAATATTCAAAACTAGCTCAAATTTAGTCTATGTATACATAAACCTGACCAACTTTTAAACCGATGTTAAACCATGCGATAAAGACATGACAGGGTCCTCTTGCGAAATCATTTCTTAATTGTTATAATGCCTTTTTTTTCTTCAACAGACTTTAATGAAAATACAGTATGATTACGATACCTTGATGATAAAATTGGAGCTAGCTGATGGCACAACTATCATACAGGATTTTAATCAAGTAGGTATATAGTATGTAATGTAATAATGTACGTGCTGTGTACCGTGTGTACTTTAGGTAACAGAATACTGAGAATCAGTTTGACTAGACTGGAAATTATCATAGCACAAGGAGAGTAGCATTTTGTAACCACAAAACAGCATTCTTCTTTATTCTGTGAATGTTATAGAGCTTTAAGGGGGCAGGTTATTAAACTGTATTGTTATCTATAAGCGTCCATCTGTATCTGTATCTGTATAAATTCTGCCAATATAGGCACACCCTCAGTACGAAGTTATAATATCCAATCACTAATAGAATAATAATAAAGTCTGTTCACTATACAAGTATGTCAATATGTTCCGTCACCAGTATCACACATATAAAGTCCTACTTATGAAATTTAAAATATATTTTTCTTTTAAATAATAATAACTTACAGTCCACACACAACTACTACTTAGCTAAATTTGACTTTCTTAAGTTTTTCTGTCCTGTGTTTAAGAGCTTGTACCTTTGCATATGCAGGTTATATATATAAGTGTTCTACAAGCAGGTTCAACATGCAAGCTAATATAGCTACACAAATCACTAATTTGAGTGCAGGCACATAATTTCACAAGGTAGTATGGGTTAATTATCACACGGGTTAAGTTTACATCTAAACTAATGTTACATAGTTTTAACATTCTAAGACACTACTCATCGTCGTTCAAATTAGTTCAACTTCTCAGCACTGAAAATGTCAAAGATTCGCGTATTTTGTGTAAATTCTTATTTAATGCATTTAACATGTTTAATCATAGGAGGACTGGACTGTCAGAGGACAATTATTGATGTTTATATGCTTCTCTGATGTATTATGCCATTTTATGTTATAAACATGTTTTGTATTTATTCTTGTCCTGATAAGCATAATGTGCTTAAAATAACAAACGAATTGAATTGAATTATTTAAACAGCGGTAAATCATTGCTATAAAATGACCTTATTGTGACTTTGAGATGCAGAACAGCAATAAAAGCGCTGTTCCTTTGCTTTTGTGTGTGTGTGTGTGGTTTTTTTTTTCTTTGAATGTACTGATTTTGTGTCATGGATGGATAACCTATATCCTTTTTTTTCTATTATTCTTTGTAATCGTAGTTTATAAACGTTAAATATTTTCGGAAGTATTCATATAATCTAAGCCTGAGATCATAAATCTGAAACTCACGTAGTCACCAACTCTGATAAGCATAATAAAATAAGAACTTCAAGAGAACATAAGTCAAGCAAAAATCTTTTTTTCTGTTTATTCAATATAAATTAGTTGTTTATCGTCAACATTTTTCTTCAATATTTATAGATTATCGGTGGTCATCTCAACGAGATTGATTTTCTCGCTTGAGCCGGTACGTCGAAAGTGAGAAAAGCAATCGAGTTGAGAAGACCAATGATAATCTGTTTATCGCTATTTTACCTATGACGACGTTGTTAATTTCATTGACAACGGCACGTGCGCCCTTAGTTTAGTTTCTAGCGATAATTTTTCATATCACTCTACTGTGCTGAGATAAGAAATTATCAGTCAGTAAGATCAAAGGAAAATTTCGTAAAATAGCGATAAATTATTCTATTGCAGACAAAACAGTATACAACATCTGGAAAATCATGTCGTACAGATGACATACAAGGAGGCATACAACTACAACCACCATGTGTACCAAGTAATTATATGTACTTTTTTATATGACTTAGTGCTGATGATTGACCTAAATCTGCTTTTATAAATTAAGAATAATGCAAACTTTAATATGAATAAAAGGAGATGTTGGGAATATATCAATAAAACTTAACATTAAACTACATCTAGAGTTACGATAATTTATGTGGCGTGAAAAGGCTTGATGAAGATGAATCCTGGCATGCGCATTGGATATCGCAAAGACCTTTCTTAAAATATTACTACCCAGTCGACACCACTGCTGATTGGCTGTTTGTCATGACAGTTACCAGTAATGGCTGCTCGTCATGACAGTTACCAGTAATGGCTGCTCGTCATGACAGTTACCAGTATCATTCGCCCAATCATCAGAAGATAAATCTACGAAATTTGCAAACGTTCGACTAATTTTTGTATGCTTCTTGAGCACATGCTAATGTTTCGAATTTTCGTGCATACGAAATTGTTGGAATTTGTGGAAAAAAGTGTAAGACATTTCTTTAATCTTTAATTAACGAGTTTAACATTTTTGTTTTGTTTTAATTGGAGACACCTCTCAGCCACGTACAAATGGAAATAAGCGTCTCTATTATCCTCAGAGATATTGGAGGTCTACTTTTGCACAGAAAGTGATTAACGGGCACTGCAGACATAGCTGAACTATATACTGTTTAAGGAACCTTTAAGGATGTTCTTAGGTGAAATTTAAAAAATCAAGAATTTAAAATTGATACTTTAAGTCAAAAGAACATTAGTTAAGGAACAAAATAAGCTAAAAATATTGATAAATTATGGAGCTCCTGTTCGAGATATTTGAGTTTTAAAAATTGCGGGAAAAGGCTGACTCGGACTTTTACCTAATATTTGCATTGGTATTACTTGGGTCTCAAATTGAAAGAAAAGAAATCTACAGTCTGCTTAAATTTTGGTAAATGACCTTTTATGAGCTATTGAAGTCTTATATGAAAAGAAAAATGGGTGTTATGGGGCAAAATATTTTACCCTGTATCGTAGGTCAAAAACCAAGGAGTCCGAACATCTGACACAAATTCCAAAACCTCACCTAAGTACATCCTTAAGTGGTACTTTAAAGTTGGCGTTTTAACTGACAAAGACGGTAATCAGATCTGATACAAGCAGTAATCAGATATAACAGGTGGTAATCAGGCTTTACACACGCGGTAATCCGACTTTCAATAGGCGGTAATCAAATTTTACACACATAAAAACTTACTAAAACTCAACATTAGCGGTAATCAGACTTACAGACTTTACAAATGCTTTAATCAGACTTTACACAGGCGACAATAAGACTGTACGTAGGTGATAATCAGATTTAACACAGGCGGTTAGAAGACTTTACACACGCGTTAATCAGCCTTTTATTACATAGGCGGTAATCAAATTTTACACAGAGAGTACTCACTCTTAACACTGGTGGCAATCAGACTCTACACAGGCGGTAACCCTTTACACACTCGGTAATCAGACATAGAGAGTAATCAAATTTTACGCAGACGGTACTCAGACTTAACACTAGTGGTAATCAGACTTAATACAGCCGATAGTCAGGTTATACACAGGCGGTGATCATTCTTTACGCAGGCGATAATATAATTTTACACAGGAGATAATCAGACTTAACACAGGCGGTAATCAGACTTAACACAGGCGGTAATCAGATTTAACATAGGCGGTAATCAATTTTACACAGGCGATAACTAGACTTTACACAGGCGGTTATCAACTTTACACAGGCGATATTCAGATTTAACATATACGGTAGTAAGATTTAACACATGTGGTAATAAAAAAACATATTACGGCTTCATTAAGACAAAGATTATTATTTAAAATGCGAAAAAGGAAATGTGAGGTATACTTCAACGAGTCATTAACTCTATACCTAAAGGTCATTTAGAAGACAAGATACCGTCTTCAACAAAAGACAGGTATGCTACATAATTAACGCTCTAAATCTAAAACACGGTAGTGAATGAATCAAACAGAAACTGTCATAGATCAAGTTGTTAGAATACACCCCCTCAAGAATAAAAGATATACATGTTTTCAATCTAGATTAAAATATGTGTTATAAGTATCAACAACTTATCAAATAAATAAAATGAAAATTAGAAACAGTTATTACAACTGATGACTAGAAACAAATAGGTTATGTATGACATATACTGTTAGTTTAGTTACTTGCTTGTTTTTGTTTTAATGGTTTGATTGTTTTATTCATGTTTTATGATTGGCAATTACAGTTGAAACTGATTTTTTCTGAGTTTAGACTTGATTTCCAATCTATTTGTGATTCAGGCAATGCTATATACAGAGGAAGAAATACTATCGGTGACGATGTCACCTATGATGTTGACACGTGGTTTGTTGCGGGCACCGCATGGGGAAACATAACAGTTTCTGTGATGGCCCACGACTGCACACCAGTGATGCAAGGAACCAGCTCAAATTCAAACAATGGTTATTTTTTATTTACGCATTAGTTCATTTAAACTCTGTCCTATCTCCGCAAAGTGGATATACCGTCGCTAAGTCCGTTGAATGAGTAAATTGATTTCTGTAGAAAGTTTTTTTTTTATTTTTTGACATGGCAAAATGAAGTTTTTTACTGATTAAAAGTTTTTACAAAATTTGGAGCGGGCTAGCGAATTTTTTATTTTAATTTTTTTGTTTTCCGAAATGAATATTTTAGCATGTGATACCTAAAATCTGGTGAGGGAAAGCATGTTTTAAAATTAATTCCACAAAACATCTGTTTCCAGGTGCAAGGAGATTTGAGGGCCTTCAACAATAAGCGTATTTCCGTTTCCCATATATATACATAAATATATATATATATATATATATATATATATATATATATATAGAGAGAGAGAGAGAGAGAGGGGAATGAGAAGACATGACTTAAAACCAACAACATATCTTAACAATAACAACAATGCATGACACCTATCTAACTGAAACAAGTTTGACCATACAACGACCAAAAAAATTTTTTAAAGAACAGGCACCGCAGCGATAGTAAAATTGAAATACAAATTGATTCAAGATTGAGTCCATTTCCGATGGAATAAGACATTCGAACTAGATGAAAGTAATTGGATGTCAGGAATTACTTCATGTTCTTTTTTCAGCTGACAAGGCCGATTTTGAAAATAAACATAATAATCCAATATTTCTCGGTTTTCGTCTGGTGCTAGTTAGATAAACAAACTTATTGCTCAATAATCCGAATAAAAAGTATGTTATAATTCGACTTAAAGTGAAAGAGAGGTGAAAGATACCAAAGGGACATTCAAACTCATTAGTCGAAAATAAACTGACAACACCATGGCTGAAAAGAAAAAGACCAACAGACAAAAACTAGTAAAAAAACACAAAACTAAAGACTGAGCAACATGAACCCCATATAAAGTAGATATTCTGCAGACTAATATAGAATAAGTAATACAAATATAAATGTTTTACGCCTCGAAACGAGATTTTGTTGTCCATGATTGATGATTATCTCGATTTAAGCATTCAAGACTAAGAGTAACTAAAAAAAATGAAAATCTATTTATTGATTTGTATATATGTTGTGTACAAGTTATCATTTTGTACAAATTATAATTTGTATTTTGACTTTGTACAAATTGTAATTTGTACAAATAGTGCTTGTACAAATTATAATTTGTACAAAATTTGACTAAAATTCACTTATAACTTGTACAATAATTTATAGTATGGATTTTGTTATAATAAAGCATTAATGCACACTAAAGAATTGTTAATCAATGATCACGAAAAAAACCTTATTTACAAAATTCAAAAAAAGTTCTGTATCATTTGTTTGAGCATGTGAGTGAATTATGGCATCCGGAATTGCACAACATCTTTTGCTTTTTACATTTAGAAGCGCTGCACCCCCTTTGCAATTACATGAAAGAAACCCCTGACCACCAGTTTTTGAAAGTTTTTTGACTGCTTCACGTAGCGAAAGTTGAAGCTCATGTACCGTTGCTGCGAATAAAGATGTGTCTTTAACAGCTTTAATTTTGTTTCTCGACAAATTGCATGTTAAAATTTCTACAGCTGTTCCAAAGCGGTACCCAAATTCTCCAGATTCAATAATTACACCTGAGATATTTCAAGATTAGTTGGAGCAGGATCATACTGAGGAATTGGTATAATGACATTATCCCCACAGCAAGTTCTGATAATTTCCGTTTCGTTTTTTTGGTTAGTTATTCAGCTTGTAGCTGTTGGCCAGACAGCGCACGTATGATTGGTCATCCGAATTCAGTGTCATCCGAATTGTCACTGGGGCCAATTTCTATTATACTATCAGAATTGTCACTGGTGCCAATTACTATTGTACTATCAGAATTTTCACCGGAGCCAATTTCTATTGTACTATCAGAAGTAGTAGAGAGTCAGTCCCACTCTCTACTACTATCAGAATTAACTGGCATGCATGTATCAATTACATTTTGGGTATTTTTGTATTTTGTAAATAAGGTTTATTGTGTGGTCATTGATTAAAAACTCTTTCATGTAATTGCAAAGGGGGTGCAGCGCTTCTAAAATGTAAAAAGCAAAATATGTTGTGCAATTCCGGATGCCATAATTCACCCACATGCTCAAACAAATGATACAGAACTATTTTTGTATTTTGTAAATAAGGTTTATGTCGTGATCATTGAATAAAATTTCTATAGTGTGTAGCAATGCTTTTTTTTATTTCAAAATCCATACTATAAATTATTGTACAAGTTATAAGTGAATTTTAGTCAAATTTTGTACAAATTGTAATTTGTATAAGCACTTTTTGTACAAATTACAATTTGTACAAAGTCAAAATACAAATTATAATTTGTACAATTTTTTTGTACAATTATAATGTGTACAAAATGATAACTTGTACACAACATATATATGTAATAAATTTCAAGTTAATGTAATGGAAGACAAAATTATTTCCTTTCTATCTTTTTTTTTTTTATAAATCACCCCTGAACGCATGTCGTTAGAAATGCTAAGATACAGATTTTCAGTAAGGTTCTACAGAAATAAAAAAAAAATACATTGATCGAAAAGAAATTTCTACGTCTTCCATATTTTAAGAATGTAAAAATATGGAAGAAAAATATGACTACAAATGATGAATGTCCAGCAGCTACTATTAATGATGATAAATGCTAACGAGACTTGTATATATCAAGGAAATGGACAGCTTTAATCACAAAGGTTTACCATTACCTGCTTGATTTTTTGTTTGCCGATGCGTTGAAAATTTTGTTCCGATATATTGCTATACACATTGTTTTTAAACATTACATTTGTATTTTCAGTTGTGTCACAGACAACAATATTTTACCATAACGTACAATTTACAACTCTAGCGGCCACTGCATTCCAGGTGCCACAGCCATGTCCTCAGATATAGACATTACAAGACGGGCTATATTGATTTAGATAAATAAAACAATGTGATGTTTTCAACTTGTTAGTATGCCTTATATATCCTTGACTAACGCCGATGCCGGGTACAGTGCTTTTTTCACCCAGTCGTATATGTAAATACAATCATGATGTAACAGCAATCCCTTCCTCTTTTCCTTGGTCGTGACATTACCGAATGAGATTTCCCCGTATTTTACTTGCATTTTCAACACGACGGATTCCACACATGGAGACCGAGTGCTCAGCCTAGGCACATGCGCTCGTCCTCGGTTTTAAGTTACTCATTATTTTTTTTATTGTTTGTTTTTTCGTCTTTCTTCTTTTTGTTCATGGTGTTGTCTGTTTTCAATCTAATTAAAATATAGAACTCGGATTTCGTTAAACTCGTATGTAGTTTAACGAAATCCGAGTTCTATATTTTAATTAGATTGGTCTGTTTTCATTTGACTTATGATTATTGAATGACCTTTTGGTATCGTATCTCCTTTTTGACTTAAAATTCAATAACTGTAAAAAGATTTATTATCAGAATAATTTGACACATACTGGAAATAAATCATCATGACAGAAACTAAGACAAAGTTGTCTCATGCGAGTCTGAATCAGTGGCAGTTCTAGGATAGCGCGCCCTTTGATCGTAAAAAAAACCCAACAAATTTCATGTTTCTGACGATTTACATGATTGTTTTTTAGCATAAAATCGTCCCAAAAAATGTTCTATTATCTATAAAGTTATCTGCAATTACGCCGCCACTGTTAATTGCATGGGGTAGACGTTCTGTCAAGTTTAATAAACAATATCATAGATCAATAAAACTTTATTCATGAATATCATTATACCAATAACTTTGATAATCCTAACATATCTTATAATGGACGTTGTTGTCACGGAATCCGCTCTTGGAATTTAGAAGCAACAGTAGTTTACCGAGGTTTAAATCTAATATATCCATTCAATACATACAAATCAAGGTTAAAACAAAACCCGAGCGAATCTCAGAAAGGGATTTTTAATACTAGTAAGTCATGGGAACAAATGTACACGACTATTCAATGTAGTGTGTGTCATGGTAGTTTTAACTATTTGAATTTTATAGTATCATCTACAAATGATTACACTCGAAGCATAGAACGTATTAGACGTTGACAGAGATACGTAAACTATTTGTATAGACTATATATATAGGGCCTTCTATGGATTGATATCGTAACTTATTATAGCCACGAACCTATTTTAGTGAGTGAGGGTAACGGACGAGCTAAAATCCATCACATTGCATCGAGAGGGTGATTTTTTACAATATCTATACGACGAAAATCCGATAATCTGTTTATCGTACCATTTCTTGTCTTTGCCGTCTCTCACTGAGTGAGTTTTACGCTTGACGAAAGTAAGTTTGATAAGGTCTCTTCAAACAAGTGACCATCACATTTTTAGCAAGATGCGTGTACTTCATGTAAACGATTAATTGCCAAGAAGCTTCCGCGCTTCGAACAATATGTGATAGTCACTTGCTCTCATTTTGTATAAATTTTCAAAAACACATGCAGCATTCAACTTTTAAACTTACAGATTTTCGAAATAAAAAAAAATGTTATTCACATTTTAAATCTGAAAGTTGAACTTATAAACACAAAACTGCGACAGAATTGTCTAGTGAGATGAAGGCAGTATTATTCCACATGAAATCAATTATAATACGTCATATAGCTCAAATAGGCACATGAAAATGTCGATTTCAAAGTAGATAGCTCGTTAAATATTTAACAAACTGCAATCATCATTGTACATGCATATCATATTTCAAGATATATTTTCAGATGAATAAAATTTGAAATTTTGTTTAAAGCATATAACTGATGGGACGAAGAACACGAACAATTCGAAGGTATAGTGGTGATTAATTAGGTAGGCTGAAGTAATGATTCTATAATCTTGGGTTGCATTTTTTCGAAACTCCATGTTGTTTTAATTTGTTCATAATTTTCATTGGAAACACACTATTTTTTCACTTTAGTATTTTTTAATAAATCAAGAAATAAACACTTAATTCGATTAAAAAAATCAAAACATATCGCACCCCGCCCCCTTCACAATGAAATGATAAATGGTCGGTACTTGATGATGTAATATGAATAAAATCAAAGTTTTTTAATGGCTGTATTGGCAGCACGTCATCTCTACAATGACTACCTTAAAAAAAGAATCATTATGTTCTTATTCAATACTTCAAACGAACATAAAGCATTTACAAAGTAAAAACTCAACACAGTTTTTGGTTATCAGCTCGCCCCGACAGCACAGAAAGCTTATTTTTATTATAAACAATAAACAAATGTCCAATTTGCTGTCATCGACCGCTGCCATCACATATAAACACAATCTACAATAGAAAAATGTTCTATAAGTTGAAGAAAAAATCATTTCGATTTACATACATGTATTTTATCAACTATTTTCTACATAACATACTGATTCACATTCCTATGAAGTCTTAATAAAAGGGGTGGGTGGGTGGGAAAACGAACCTTTCTGTCGGATAGGCGAACCTCGAATGACAATTCTAGATATCTTATTATAATTTTAGCGCTAAAATTCTAGCATGAAGTTATCATGATTGATATAACTTAAACCGGTAATAACTTACTGATGGTCCAATCAAATTAAACATAAACATGTTTTGATTTAAACACACGTGTTAAAAGTAAACAAATACACGTGTTCCCGAGTAACCTTTATAAATACATATTCAATACGAATATTGCATGTGGATACAATTGGGACTTGTAGTATATTTGCCAAACGAATTACATGTAACACGTTTACCATGTTTGACGGATGCCGAGTATGCTTGTCTCCTCAAATATTTATATATACATTTTTTCTTTGTTTATAAACTATGCTTGCTATGTACATTGTAAATACTAAATTATAAGATTACTCGACCGTTATCATATTAGTTTTCAAGATAATAACCAAACCATGTGAAATTTGAAAAAGACATTTCAGGAGCAATAGCTCCATTTTTTTGCTAAAATTTCAGATGGGATATACTTTGACCTGCTGATCAAATTTATCCTGTCAGTTATGCTCTTCTTGCTTTATTATTTTTTTTTATAGATTTAAGGCAGAAATCTGCAGTTTTATATCAGTATCTTACTTTCATGTTTGTTTATAGATCAAATGGACAACTAAAATTTTAAAACAATATTCCCTAAGAAACATTCAGGGAAAGCCAAAAATGTGGAATTATATTTGATACTATATATAACTATGCAAGTGGCAAATAACTAAACTTGACCACAATGAATTCGAATAGCGTGCGTTTCTGAATCTATTGTAGAAAAAGATATGACAAGTTTTCGCAGAGTTTCTGGGGAAAAAAACGATTTAGGACAAGCATTAAGTTCATTATCTAGCAACATGTAGGATACACGAAATTCTTGGTACATATTTTGTCTTCACATTTGTATCCAAAACCTGGATTAACTTTTCTTTGTTTGTAACATGTTTATGTACAGTAATGTCAAATTACAAGTTCAATCTCCTTTTTGTGTTATAAGTTTAATAGCCTCCAATGCAAATGGAGCCGCATTGATGGCAAAGTTTCCTATTTCAGAAAAGACCTTTGTAACTCCATCTATTACTTTTCTACCAGTAGATTCCTCCTCTTTGTCCTCTATTTTTTTTCTGATAGATGTTCGAAGATCGTAACGTTGTTGCCCGTACATCATGTCCTCTTTCATTTTTTCTTTTTCGATCTCTAACTTTTTACGCTCTTCATCTAGCTTTTGTTTTATCTCGCAATCTTTTGCATCGGCTATTTCTCGTCTGATTTTCTGTTCCATTTCTTTGGATTGTTGTTCTAGCTGGCGTACCTTCTCTTCCATATCTTTAGTTAATTTTGATCGTTCTTCTTCTAACTCTTTTTCTTTTTCGGCCGATATTTCCTGTCGCAACTTTTCCTCTTCCACCAGAGCTTTCTGATTTTCTTTTCGTATTTCCTCTTCTATTTCCCTCTTTATTATGTTTTCTGCTGCTTCAAACATTTCACTTGTGTAGTAAATACCGTTATTCTTTGCCACTGTTTCCTGAATAAGGTGAAACAAAATTTTAAATCGTTTTTTTTCTTTTTCTGGGGGGTGCTGAATTGTCGAATGCAATATATCTATTTTCACAAAGCTGTAAAAGTGACTCTAATTCTGGTGGTACATCTTTCAAGTATTCGGCAAGCTTGTCGTTAAGCTTTGAAATTCCCTTCATCTTAATTGTATCAATTTTCGTGAATATAATAATAACATACTTGTGTACATCATTTCCGAATAATTCAAATATCATTTGTACAGCTTTTTGATCTTCATGGGTAAATCTGTCTCCCTTAAGGACGAGCAAAAAACAGTGTGGACCAGGCGATGTTATACCAATACATTTTGCCACTTCTTGCAATGTGACCTTCTGATCTGTTGATGTGTCACAAAGACCAGGCGTATCGACAACAACTAGTTTTTTATTTTCTCGAATAGCATTACCTTGTTTGCATTTTTTTGTTACAGACGTGCACACTTCCTTTCCTAGGATTGTATTGCCAGTTTCACTTTTACCTGCTCCTGTTTTTCCTATCAATACTATGCGAACCTCATTTTCCAAGTTTTCATTCGAAATACAGGGACTTTTTAAATCATCAGAATTATCTATAATAATAAAAAAGTAATTATAATGAAAAACAATATATTCACAAAATTTAATTTCTGAAAATGAAGGAGTAAAATAATATCGTTAAGTATGGAAACAAGCAAATACGAGAAAGGCTTTAATATACCTGTCGAGATTCCTGCCATAATGTTTTGATGAATAACCTATACATAAACAAACATGTTATTTAATAACTTTTCTTCTTAAATGTGTAGAAATTGCACGTAACGACATAATTGTAATTAGAATATAATCTTTCTGGAAACAATTGAATCAATGATCAGAAGCGACTCAAATTGGCTTCAAAGTCCAGTAAGTCTGAATGGAGACAAGGTC